ATTTACTGTTTTTATAAAATAAATATGTAACTATACAAAACCTTATATATCAGAATAAATCTAAAGATTTATTATCTCGGCATTTTTATATGCTTTCAAGGAAGTTATTGATGTTTTAATTAATATAGAAGAGGTAAACCTGTTTATATATATACACACTGAAACCAAACGGAATGTTACTGAACTTAACAGTGGCAATTTGACAAAGAAGAGACAGGAATGAAGAGCAATGGTGGTTCAGGTTTCTCTTTTCAGCTTTCTGACCACATGGTTTATGCCTCATCTGAGCTCATCAACAGTAAAATTAAAGTTTTGATATTAATTCATGTCTTCGCTCCATCTAGCAAGTTATAATTAATACAAATTGCAAGGCTGGCTGCATGCTATTGAGAGAAGGGTGTAAGAATCAGAACTGGCCAGCAATTCATCTCGTACCCAACACTGCAGGCATCAAGATGTTAATAGGCTTGATCATTTATAACCTGTGATAAATGTGAGCTAATTACATAAGGGTGCTAAATTTCATACTCCATTAGTCGCCCCTTATGCTATCCAGCCCCAAAAGATTCAAAATTTAATCCAAGTCACTTGGTACTAAGGCACTGGATAAAATGGTAATTCTAATTACCAGCTCAAGAAACTTGGGAATGACAGCTTATGATTTAGAAGGGCTCTGTACGTCAGGAGTTCTCCCCCTCCTGTTTTCAGAATTAAAGAAAGATCTGCACTGCAGCAAATGAAATAAAAGTTTGGGAAACTTCCAAGGCTTTGATACATATTAAAATTGCAATACTTAAAAATGCATCTGTTGTATTTTCTATAAATAAGTGGGTTTGCAAATGGTGAGGATTTGGCATCTTTCCACCCTCACTCCTTACAATACATGTTTTCTCAAAAAATAAATAACTGTTCCCTAATGTGAAGCAGAGCGAGCAGGAGGAGACTGTTGAGCAGCTTTCTGATTTTACACTTGTTGCAGTGTAGATACCCAGCACTCATCGTTTACTTTGGAGGCAACGAGGTGAAGATTAGAGCCATCACACCAAGGAGCAGGATCAGTTAATCGCAGGATCTTAAGCCAGGACTGCCTCAGCAGAACTGGGGAAAGGGATGAGAAGGCACAAAGCATGTACAGAGCTTGTGCCCCAGTCTCCCATTGAGCCCTTCCAAAGGTTTTTGTGAAGTATTGATGCCACCAAGTGTCACAACAGAGTATTGCCGCTCACCTACCAGTCAGGTGCACCTCATTTAAACTAGGTAATAGCACCAGTACTTACCAACTGGTTTTGCAGTGCCCTTGCAATAAGACGGCTATAGACAAGGCCATAAACAACATAGAGTATGATTACAAAAAAGAGAATTCAGAAATTAGTTTCCAGAACCTTAGAACAACTCTCTTTCTGTCTGAGAACTCCTGGCTTCATTGCTGCGTGGCTGATTGATAGCAAGGGGAAGGGTGAGAGGAGCTGAAAGAGAGAAGGATTAGAAAATGGTGGTAGGGTTTGGGGCTTTTCGAGATGCTTCTAACTTATCATCTGTTCTGTGACCTAAAGGTTTGTTAGTTAAGACTTAAATGTTCACAATTCCCTTCCTAAAGATGCCAAGAAGGTCAGAATGCCACAAGTGTATGACGTGGTAAGACAAGGTATTGCAAGAGATGAGCTGTGTCTAACAGGCGTACTACGAGAAGTAAGGAGTAAAGGCATGCGATATCTATTAGCTGTGTACCACTTTGGAGACTGAAAAATCCTGTTTAGAAAGCTTTGTAACAATGCCTACAATTTCAGCATCAAAATACTGCTCCTCATTGAGCTGATTTAGAGGCAAGTAAAAGTCACCTTTTAAACCATTATTTATTTTTTCCTGACAGTTGCATTAAAGATATTCAGTGAAATGTAGGAGAGAGAAAGAACATTGAAACAAACCAGTAAATTTGTATTTTTTTGAAGGGAGGGAGTAAAAAGATGGAGTTATCTCAGTGTTCACAAGTTCACATTTAAGCTATCCCATACTGATTCTACAACATACACAAAGAGCTTTACAAATACCTGGTGCAAATTTTGTCGTCCCACAAAATCTGACGGTGCCTGTTCTCTGTCCTACCACCAGTACTCTGTCTCCGACCTGAATTTCTCCTTCACCAAAAGCATTTTTCCTCGTAGCTGGAGAACTATAGAATCCTTGTTATCAAAAGAACAAGATCTGAAATTAGTGACCTTATATCTTTAACATTTAAGAGAGTCGTCAATAGTGAGCCAACTGGTTGGTAAACAGAGTACCCATCTTTAACATAGTGTGCCTTCAACACATGGCAACACACCACAGATTTGGCTTAGACAAAAGGACTGCTTTGCTTCAGCATGGCAACTGTGGACTGCAGCCTTTTCTCTGCAGTTGAAAGGTACAGTGACCAACTATGAGACCACTTTTCCTCTTGACGATGTACTTAGAAAGATGTTTAGAAGTTAAGTTGATGGTTTAACTACTTCCCAAGTGTCTGTCTTGAACCATGTCAGATTCTGAACCAGCACATGTAGTTGTACACAAGCACTCAACACAGCAGTAAACCCCCACCTGTGAAAACACACCTCAGTAGCTACAGACCATACCAGCACTGATTTTAGATGAGGCAGAAGACACTCGGGTCACTGCCTTCCTATTGCTGCCAGTTGAGTTCCGCTTCTTGGAGTAATTCCGTTTGCCTTCCAAGGAGGTAGTAGAAGATGAAGAGCTGGTGTACCCAGGAAAACCTGGATGACATAAATCCATAAGAGTCCATCAGAGGCCAGAGTGAGAAAAGGACAGATTAAACGGAAGGGAAAGCTTCTGTAAGAAGGAAGCTAACTGTTCTCCATAGCGGGCAGAATACAAACAGCCAAAATTAGAAGTTGTTAAGCAGCACTTCCACAAACTCCTGTCAGGAATGACAGAGGTGTGTCTGCCCTTGCCTTGGGACTAAGGTGACGGGTGAGTGTTGGAAGAGGTCTCCCAAAAGCCCGTTCATTATTACTCCATCAAGGGTCTTCTAAACAATTCCAAGTATATTTTAATTAAATTATGGGAGCCTTAGTAAAGAGATCATTCCACCACACTTTCAGCATCCAGCCTGTGAAAGATTTGATGAGAATTGGAAGGAAGGTGATATTACATGAGTGAATTATTGCCTGTATTAAAGCCTACTAGATTCCATTACACGCTGTATTAATATTAAAATCTGTACTATAAAGTGAGAATGGATGATAAATCAATTTTATCTCCATTCACAAACCCTGATGTCTAAACTGTCCGGTAAGTTCAGCCTTCCTCCCATGATTCTATGATTCCTTTTCAAAGCTTTCCCAGTTCTGCCCTTTCCTACCCCTTCTGCCCGAAACGAGGCAGGGCACAGCAAGACACGTCTGTTTCTCAGTGTGAAAAATTAAGATAATATTGTTCATTTGTGTTGCCACTAAGTGCGCTCCATGAACAAAACCTGCTGGAAACCTCTGTCCACACAAGCACTGACGAAGTATCATACAGGACAGCACGTTAAGTACCTTACACCAGCCTCCTTCCCACGTCAGTTCACTGATGAAGGACATAAAAAGGTACTTTTCTTCAAAGAAGGTATATTCAGAGTCACACTTCAAATTATTTCAAAGAAATACTGCTTTTACCAACACAATAAACCACCTCAAAGGAGACACAAATTTTACAGTTTGTTAAAGAAAAAAGTGAGGTCCCTTTATGTTTAAAGTTCAGCAAACAAAATACTGATGCAGTAGAAGTCACTATGCAATGCTGAAAGTAGATAATTACAGGGAATGATTCATATGTAAAAGGAACTTTTTAAAAAGCTAGTTTCGAGTTGCATATTTGAAGCTTGTTATTCGAGTCTTCTGTGACATGATGCCAAGACTCAAGTGCTGTTAGATGGTAACACTTGATTATACCAGCTTCAATATACTGATACAGGAGAGAATAAAAATGCCAATAGAACATGTGCACAGTTCTTCATTAAAATCTAAGCAGTGACGATGCAGAGCAAAAGGTCTCTCCCAGAAACCTAAGAAGGTAATTCTGGAGCTCCTCTCTAAGATCATTTACTAATAGACAGCTTCCAGCTTTAAGGGCTTGTCTATATTCTTGTCCATGCATTTGGACAAAAAGCTGTTGCCAAACCAACCCAGAATGCCAGAAGTCAGCCATACAAATTACTCTTGCTCCTACTAATTAAATGTATACGGCCTGCTTGGGACTTGAATAGAGACAGGTAAGGCACTTCCTATGCTGTTGATACAGGACTCCTATAGAGGTAAGGCAGCAGTAATACCTCTTCTGCCCTAAAGCAAAAATTTTCCTCAAGATGTTAAAAAAACTAAAAGAATATTTAGTTACCATCTTTTGCAGGTACAGGTTTTCCCTTGTGAGGAGTCATAAAGTTGGTTTCCAAAGCACCGTCTTTTTTTGCTGTGTTCAGGCCTACAGAAAGAGCACACACAATTCAATATATGCATCCAACAAAGAACAATTTTTTCAGGAAAGTCACGTTTAAAAACAGTTTGACACATTTGCAGATTAGATGCAGGGATAAAACGAATACAACTGTACAGTTCCTTAGACTGTTGATAAGTGGGTAAAAAAGGCTGCAGAATTGTTTTGATGGATAAGCACAGATGTTAAACCCCTCAACACATTACAGCAGTCCAAACTATCTTGCCAAACAATAACCGAACTGTCTGCAAAATATTAATGTTTCTATTGAAGGAGTTTTATTTAAATCTGTCAAACATTTACATCTATTATATACACAACATTCACTTTTAAGGCACCTAACGCCTACTATTCACTAGGATTAATTTCACCATTTCTGCATTAAAGATTACCCATAAAGCTTTTGAGAGAGTGATTTGAGACCACATCTTCATTCAGTCTACAAGTAATGAAGTAAGCCAGTAAGATTTTTAAGAGCCTGAGGAGCAGCAGTGTTGTGGAATGTGTATGAACTAGCACAGCCACAGAAGTTACAACAGTGAACAGCCCTTCTGCATTTCTGACAGTTTCCTACCCTCATTCAATGAAGAACAAGTTATCTGTGATTTATCCCCTCCCTGTCATAAAAGGAATAAAAGTAATAAATCACGTTATCTTTACTTCATCTCTCAGCTTAATTCAGTTACAGGGACTGAACTAGCTTGCAGCTGTACTGTATTTTCTGAAATGTTATGATTTAACCATTAAGGCATCAGCTCTGTTTGTGACCGAGAACACATTTCTCAATTTCATTACAGTAATCCTTCCCCTAAAAACTTGAAAAAGACCTGTTATCATCAACCTAATGGATTATTCAAATCCACTAGGAACAAACCAAATCTGAAAATCTCTACACTGTATGACAGTTACACTTTGCAGCTAGAAGCCACATCTACAAAAAGCATATTCCTTTTTCTTGGATCATTACAAACCAGTCGTATTGCAGAGGTGAAGTTGAAAAGAAAGAAATGTAATCTGTCACATAAACACTGCAAAACACAGTTCTGCTTCTGCAGCTTTATCCTCCCACTCCAGCCCATGAATCAGCCAGGCACATTAATTCTAAAGGACCTTTCAATTCAAGAACACCAGCCTCCAGATTACTGTTAGTGGATGTAAACTCCGCTGGGCAGATGATACAGAACTCCCTCTGATTCTTACCTGAAGCAAAGTGTCAAATCTTTTAAATTTACAAAGATATAAATGCACCTTTGTGGTGCAGAAGAAGGTGGTTTATCACTAAAGTGGAACACACGGTCTGTGACAAAGGAAACAGTACTTTTTATTATAGTGTAATGGGTTACAAACAGTTCACAACTCAATCAAACACTGAAGAATACTTAACAGAAAAAGTCAGCTTAGATCTGCTCTGAGCAATTCTCCTAACAAACCGATTATTCCCAGAAGCTTTTTATGCAAGATGTCCATTTATAAATAGCTTAGATCTTGTGCTTGTTGTAAATACACAGAATTAAAGCTTACTTCCCCTTCAGTCTATGTAGAGCAGTGTTATGTAAGTCATCCAAAATGCTGCCAAAATGCCTGTCTTCCACCAGCCCTGCACACCATTTCTATCACCTGTGTATTACTGGTGAAGTGTGTGGTGTTTTAGGGGGCTTGAGTAAATTTGATAAGAGTGTATCCATACCTTCCACCCCTCAAGCTGTGCTGCCTTAGTATGAGTCACCTGCAGAGGGTCCAAAAGGCAAAAGAAATGCTAATATATTTAATGGTATCATTATGTAGCCAGGCAGACATGGAGCAGATTATGCATGGTGGGCACTGTACACAGCCAGGAAGTCTGGACTGCAAACACCTCGGAGCACAAACAGCCAGAAAAGATGCCTTATTCTTACTTCACAGGGACGGAACTTACACAGAAGATCAAGTAATTTGAGTAAGTTACTAAGAAACTGAAGCAGAGCCAAAGATTGAGCCTCTAACTCCGATCAGAAGACTGAGGCCATATTACAAGGGCATCCTTTCCCTTCTAATTCTCCTCTGATTTTACTCAGATAATATAATTAGCAGATAGAACACAGTAAGATAAGTAGTTCCTTGACCATTTTGCCAGGAAATAAATTAAATTTCTTCGATTTCTACTCATGAAGGTGTATATAGATTAGTGTCTAGATTTTCACTGATTTCACTGAAATGTTTCAAGTTACCCAGGGAAGATCTTTGTAAAATGGAATCACATAGAAATTTAACTGATCCCACAGGCAATCAGAAATTACTTTGATGGCTCAAGAACAAATGTGGTGAACTTTTTGTTTAAAGTTTGTTTAAAGTTATAGCAAAGACTATAACCTGTCACAATACATCTGATCGCTATAATCACTAAACAGCTACACGCAACATCCTTCCAGTACCAGTTTACAGGCTAGTGAACTTCTGATAATGAGAGCACATAGTTAATAAACATCTCCTTTTCATCCCGAGTGATGAACTAAATCCAAACAAGTATTTTAATACCAAGACTTACAGGATTAGTGCTAATTCTTGAGGATTAGTATCCCTCTATCCTGTCTTACTTACAAGAAAATACTCACCAGAATTCACTTTGGAAGTTATGTGCGTCACATCTATTTTCTTGGATTTGACCAAAGGTGAAGACCGCACGGAAGAACTTCGTACAGAGCTTTTTTTGTGATCAGAAGCCTTGCTGATTTTAGAAAGAGGTGCAAAGATACCTGCAGAGAAAATTGTATGTGCCAAAATAGAACCGGGGTAATACTAATGTAAGTAAAACTCTCTGGCTACTCACTCTTACATCAATTAATGTAGGGGGGTTTTCAGCCATGATCACAGCTTGCTATGCTGCCAAAGCACTTGCAGGGTAGGAAGGACCAGCTCAAATGGACAGTGAAACCCAAAGGCTTATTCAAGCAACTTGAACAGAGTAATTCCGGAAGTCAGTAAAACTATCAATTAGTATCTCCTTTTTGTCCTAATGGTGACATTCAGTCCCCACTGTTACAAAACACAAGCCTTTGTACATCATGAATGTCCATGAAACGGCAATTAAAATACCTCAAGCTGAATGTTAGAAAACAACTACAAGCGTATCTCTTAAAAAGGAAGGCAAAGTAGGTGAAGAAACATGGCCATTATTGCTGCAACACAAAGAGTTTCAACAATGTAGGTGGAAAACCAGGACTTATCATGTCACAGTTTCGAGGAAATAACCAGAACTAACTAGAAATGTTGGTTGTGTCAGTGGTTTTGCAAATAGTTGCAGACAACCCCTACGAACAGTTAAAAGAATCAATCAAAGCACTACAATGAAAAGCAACAGAATTTGTTGTCTCATTTTTTTCTCCCAGTAAGTCCATCTTCTCCAAAACTGTTCTTAAAATTCAGGTTTTTAAAAAAATTAGGGAAAATTTAAAGGTTTTACCATGTTTCGGTGCACACTTGAAGTACTGGACTTTCCCAACACTTCCATTGTTCTTTCCTTCTGGTTCATCCAGCTCTATTCCAGCCCACTGGCCACTGGCAAATTCCGTTGTGCCACAAAATCTTAATGTACCAACCTAACACAAAAAGCATCAACACAGAATGACTTTGTTACACAAGTACGGTTCATGAGAATACAGTACAGATTATGAAGGAGAAAGCAAAGTCATCTCCAAGCTTTTGATCAGAACAAAGAAATACAGACGTCATGATTCTACCGTGATTATTTCCATGCCTATTTCCATGCCAGCCAACGCATCTTCCAAAACATCTTAATCCTCCTGTGTATATTTTGCATTCAACAAAACCAGTGTTTATTGACAGATCACAAAACAGGCAAGAACAAGACAGGAAGAACCACAACTCCAAGTCAGCAAAGTACAGGAGTATATGCCTAATGAGAAGTTTCACTTCCAGTGTCTTCCACAACAATAATTCCAGTCTAATGGCTAAATACCTTGCTGAACTGCAGATTCCATGGCAATACTAGGGTAAAAGATCTATAAATATATCTGTGCATATATAAATAAATACATGTAAGTATGTAAATATGTATGTATGCTGCAAAGGTTCAAGGGTAAACTTTAGAGCAAATTTTTTTCTTTGGAAAAGATTCCTTCCTTATGATTAAACAACATTCAAAAGCCAGCAAATGTTTTATACACATTATTGTTGTTTCAGTATATTCTGTAGTACCTACTCTGAACAGGTATACAAAGAATATCAAGACAGACCAGTCTTGTTGGTGGACCTCAGCCTCCACAAATATGCATTATAAGGTCACACACTTCAACTAAACAAGGAAGGAATAACCAACAGAGATGCATTTAACATTGATTTAAATTCATTTTTATATTTGATTTTTAAATTAGTTTTAGTAAGAAAAACCTTTGATCTTTCAATTGCTCGGTTTTCATTATCACATGTGACCTTAATACCATTAGTTCATTTTCTACTTCACTTTTCTACTAGACTTCACTGTCTAAACCAGCACTCAGAGAGTGAACAGACACACGACTGTAAAACCTGCCAGCTACTCTTTCTTAATGTTCTGTAAAGAAATAAACATGATCCAGAGCATGTTCCTCCTCTATGCTGAATATTTCCTTTCAACTTGACTTACAGGCAGGTACATCACACGAATCTGGACCCAGACTTCTTAGCTACCAACCCAGAGATCAAATTCAGCCAGAGGAAGCTTGGCCAAGCAGCCACACAGACTCCTCCACTCTCCAGGCACGGGCCGAAGGGCACTTACTGAGCAGAGACGAGAGAGCAGCAGGCACTTTAAACAGGAGGTGGAAATGACAACACTGAAGCTCCAATTCTGCGCAAGCAAGGAGCAGAGGACAGCACGAATGAG